GGAAAGAGGATTGCATTTAACCCCTGTTGATCTATGTCCTGTTGGTTCATAGTGTGTGCTTACTCCTAGAGAGTGTGTGTGCTCCATAACTGTGTAAATAGTTAAATAAATTCTTTTATTTGGGCTAATAATCTGTGTTGTGCTCTGACCACATACACTCCCCTGCTCTGCATAACACCAACGGGAGGGGGTAGCCCAGGGGAGTAAGGAAAGGTCAGATCCTTGGGTTGCCAGCTTTCCAGGGTTCCCCCAAAGATTGGGGATTCCATCTCCAAATAGGGAGAGGTCTCACTGTCCCTCTAAAAAGGCAGTGACGATTCCTTGAGTGGTGGCAGCAAACTTAAGGGGTGCATTCAGACGGGGCCTTTCTGCCGGCATAAACGCGATCACACTTACCTCCATCTTGCAGATCCCTCCGGTGTACGCCCGCTCACACGCTGCGGGCGTCGGCGGGTTTTTTTTTTTAAGCACAGTTTGAGCATGCGCATAGGCAGCCATTCAGAGAATTGCGATATTTGCGCATGCTCAAAACCCCCCCATTACATTTAAACTTTAAAGGTAAGGACTTACCTTTAAAGTTTAAAGCCCAACCTGGCCTCCCTTAAGTCCCGGACTCCTCCGGGAAGTTAAACTAAGGGATTTTTTTTTCTTAACAAACGCTCAGGGCGAAGCTTCGCCCAAGCGCATATTGCTTACTTTTTTAAAAAAATGGCGGGGGAAAGCCGGAAGCCTCAGGCTTCCGACAGAAATGGCAAGGCACCGGTGGAGAGCGATCAGACGCCGAGGTAAACCGGAAGCCACCGTTGCACGCTCCAGGTAGGGAGATTCCTGGAGATTTTCTGGTAGAGTCTATGGAAGCCAGGGTTTGGGGAGGAGAGAGGCCTCAGCTGAACAGAATGCCATCAAGCCCACCTTCTAAAGCAGTTATTTTCTCCAGGGGGGAGAGATCTGTTGTCTGGAGTTCAGTTGTGATACCTGGTGATCTTCTGGCTCCATCTGGAGGTTGGCTATCCTAGGCGTAGCAGACAGTGCTTCAGAGCAGGGTCTGCTAGATCCAGGTTCTTTCTGTAGAAGCTGAGTGGGTGATTTTGGACCAGTCACAGACTTTCAGCCTAAGCTACCTCACAGGGTTGTTGTGCCAGTCGAAAGGGGGAGAGGAGAATGATGTAAGCTGCTTTGGTCCCCATTGCAGAGCAAGACTACTTTTCCTCATGGGAAACCATTGTTGCCAATCTCCAGGTGAGGGCTGGAGACCATTCAGAATTACAGTTGCTCTACAGATGGCAGAGATCAGTTCCCCTGGAGAAAATTGTGGAATCTGTGGCAGTCAGGGCTTCAGAGCATGGAAAATGGTGGACTCTGTGGCAGTCAGGGCTTCAGAGCACGGAAGAGGCTGCAGGTGTGTGTGGGGGGAAATGGAAAGCAGAAGAATGAGGGGGAAATAAAGGTACGGTAGGTTGATGATTGGCTGGGAAGGAGATAGGGTTGCCAACTCCAGGTGGGAAATTCCTGGAGATTTGAGGGATGGAACCTGGAGAGGGTGAGGTTTGAGGAGTGGTGGGACCTCAGACAGGTACAATGCCATACACTCCACCCTCTCGACCAACCATTTTCTCATGGGGAACCACTGTTGCCAATCTTAGGAGAAGGGTGGAAATCACTCAGAATTACAACTGATCTCCAGGAGGGAGGGGGGAGGAGATGGACAGCTGACATCAGAGGGGCAGATAATGGCAGGTTGATGCTTGGCTGGGAAGGAGATAGGGTTGCCAACTCCAGGTTGGGAAATTCATAGAGCTTTGAGGGGTGGAGCCTGGAGAGGGTGAGGTTTGAGGAGGGGTGGGAGACAGTTACAATGCCATAGACTTCACCCTCCAAACCAGCCATTCCCTCCTGGGTAACAATTGTTGGCAATCTCCAGGTGAGGGGTGGAGATCACTCAAAATTACAATTGCTCTTCAGGTAGCAGAGATCAGTTTCTCTGGAGAAAATGGTGAACTCTGTGTCATTATACCCTGCTGAGGTCACCACAGCACATTGAGGCTGAGTGTCCAAGGCCTTGGCACTCTCCCAGAGCCTCTTTCTAGAGCTCATTGTGGAAATAAATACATTTTTACAGATGGAAAGCTGAGGCTGAAACCTACTTTACCAGGATTGCACAATAAATGTACCTTATGCAGAGGATGAATTCAAATCTTCCAGATCCATGCCTAGTTGACCATCCCTGGACCTCATGGACTTCTAATGTTATTTATTGATTTTGTCAATTAGGCTGTTAAAAACATGGTTGTTTCATTTCCTTTGCATAATTTTTTTATTGTTGTTTCAAGAGAAATATGCAGAAAAACCATTCAGAAGTAATAATGTGTACATTTAAACTCAAATTGTACAGTATCATTGAAATTAGCAATGGTTTCACCATGGTAACAGAAACCTGTATGAAGCTGGTTACCAGCAAAAGTGATTTCATCAGAGGTCATTTCGGGGGGGAACGCGGGGGAACGCAGTCCCCCCGGGTGAGGGGCGGGGGGCGGGGCACACGATGAAGCCCCTCCCCCTGCTTCCAGCCGCCCCACTTCCGGCCCTCATTCAGCCAGGAGGCAGGAGAAGAGGGAGGGTAAGTTGCTTTCTCCCCGCCTCTCTCCACCCCTGCCTGCCTGGGGCCAGGGAGGGCCTTGGCGGGGCTTCCTCGCACTCCCGCCGGCCTTGCAGGTCCACCGCAGGGCCCCTGATGTCAGGGGGTGTGGCATATGCTAATGAGTTATGCTAATGAGTCCCCCTAGCTCTTTTTCTACGAAATGACCTCTGGATTTCATTGTAATAAGAAATAGTGCACCTTAGAATTTAAGGGGGGGTGGGGAAGCATAGCAATATTTTATACCAAAAACCCAATAACTGGTTCAATTCTAGTATATTTTCTGGTATATTTAAATAGTGTAACATGACTCAGAATTAGAGTGTGGATTTTGTTGTACCAATAAATGCAGACAGCAAAATTCAGAAATAAAATTGTAGCCTGATAAACATAATTTCATGTTCATTTTCACTAGGCTTCCATTGAATCTTTCAAGAGATTGTCCCAGTATTTTGCTATCATTATAAATAATAAAATCATAAATAATAATAATAATAATAATAAATAGTAAAATAATAGATTAGATGAGGTTCACAAGAATTGCAGAGATCTTGTTCAAGGTGGAATTTGCATACCCAGCAATCAGTTAATGACAGGAAAAAAACTTTCAGCAAAGATAAGAATGAGATCTTGTTCATGTATTCTTGACATAGTAAATCAGCATGATCTGCCATTTTCAAATAATGGATATGTTTTCCAAATGTCCCCAACCTGGTAAGATATACAATATAAACTGTCCTGCAAATCCACAGAGCTCCAAAGTTCTCCAGCATATGATAAATCTCATCTCTTGCCACATGGGGTCATGTTTTTGTTGTTCTAAAGTGAAACCTGTGCTTCTTAGGAACATACACCTAACCAAGATTGTATATTATAGAATCAGTGGTAAGGATTTCTATGTACAGAGTAGATTATAATTACGGGGTTTCCAGGAAAGTTCTTTTTGCATCTATTGATGTTTCTGCTTGACTCACAGCTGGAAAGGTGCTCATAGTTCTGAAAACCAGGGTGTTCAATGGGGTCTGTGCACAACTATTGTGATTTCATGATCATGGTGACCTCAAAAAAACGATGTTACGAACAAAAGAGATGCCATGTTGGATCAGGCCAGTTACCAATCCAGTCCAACACTCTGTCACACAGTGGCCAAAACTGAGGTGCCATCAGAAGGTCCACCAGTGGTGCCAGAACTCCAGAAGCCCTCCCCACTGTTGCCCCCCAAGCATCAAGAATACAGAGCATCACTGCCCCACACATAGTGTTCCATATATGTTGTAGCTAATAGCCACTGATGGATCTCTGCTCCATATGTTTATCCAATTCCCTCTTGAAGCTGTCCATGCTTGTAGCTGCCGCCACCACCTGTAGCAATGAATTCCATGTGTTAATCACTCTTTGAGTGAAGAAGTACTTCCTTTTATTTGTTCTAAGCCTACTGGTCTGAACCAATCATGGTACCACAGGAACAGCTTTCACATGGAGGTGATGGTTCTCCCAAATGGTTCATCCACATTAACTCTGCCTGACCATGATGTTAGTGCGCTCTTGAGGCATTTGTATGGAGACCAGTGTAACTGCCAACCAGCCTTGAAAGTGAACATCCTTGACTGTAATAAAAGTAGAAACAAGCTGTACATCTGTCTCATTGAAACAGATAATAATTGAAAAGGAAATTTTCTGCCAGTACCATTTCATGGATATTTCATTGTTGTGTTCTATCACAGTAAGTAGATGGATTGGCGTTGATGGAAACTTTATCTTGACAGAACACTTTCCACAGTCTAAATATAGCTCACTATAGAACTGTGTTTCTATATTTTCTTGCTGCCTTGACACCAATGAGTAATGGTTCTACTTGTGAGCAGAAAGTGAATGTGAACATGATCAGGAACTGACAATTCCTAGGTTATCATGTCAAAATACTAACTCACCATCTGGTAGGAGAGTTTTAATGTCTAGTTAAATGCTAGAAGGTTCCCCATGATTTTAGATACATCTTAATTCATTCTCAGTTCTCACATAGTTTTATAGCGTGAACAATTTACAATATGCATAATGGGATACAAAATCTAGAACCCACAAATCTTCTGAGTTCTCCACTAAGCTGGGAAAAAATGCCAGACAACAAATTTTAAATGTCAATATAGTCTGAAAACGTTTCCAAATTGTAAGTTTTATTGCCATAACGCATGAATTTCTCAAGCAGGGTGTTTTTTTTTGGGGGGGGGTGTCAAGTTTTCAGTGTTGCAATCAAAGTGTCATGCCCTGCCCAGAGTCTGATTCTTACAGGATATGTCCAAATGCTCAAATTGAAGGTTAATTTGGATATGTCCAAATGCTCAAATTGAAGGTTAATGCAAAAGGAGAAAATATTGCTGTGATTGTAGTTGGAGGGGCAAGAGAGTTTTTGGATGCCCATCGTGGAAGCTTAACTCTTAATATTCTCAGGAAAAAAGGTTTAATTAAGATTGCTTTGGAACATGGGTAAGTCCCACACCACATTAGTGCTGAGGGCTGTGGTTGAGCAGTATGGCGAGACTGTGGCTTACTAGTAGAGCACATTCTTTATATGCATATTGTCTCAGGCACAATCCCTATAATTCTTAGGATTGCCTAAGAACACTTTCCTTGGAGTAAGCCTCATTTAACAGACCTCAGTAGGATTCTGAATAGAGCTACTTAGGATTGCTGCCCTCATATCTCTTATTAAAGGATCCCGAAGTAGCAGGTGTTGGGAAAGGTCCTTCACTCCCTGAGATTCCAGAGTTCTGCTCCCAGCAGGAGTAGCCAAAGGGTAGCTAGATGTTTCAGTGATCGGGCTTGGTATAAGTTAGCATTATATGTCCCTATTCCAGCACATTTTAAGAAAAAAAGACATTAACACAGGATATCAACTGGGAGCTTGTAGAAATCATTTTTTAATTAAATGGGAGGCATGCAGAAGTCCAGAATAACAACTATCCTAGTAATGAATCTAGTGATTCATAATGATTGTGCATGGATGTGATGACTAAAACAAGCCGTTACATCTGGCTTTATTTTCTAAGCTGTAACTAATTAATTAGTTTCAGTTTTGGCCCAAATCAGAGGTTCTTTTATGGTCTCGTTATGGTCTCGTATAGATGTTACAGGAGCTGCGGTGGCTCAAGTGGTTAAGACGCTAAACTGCAGGCTGTGGAAGGTCAGTAGTTCAGCAGTTCAAGACCCGGGTGCCACATGATGGAGTGAGCTCCCATCTCTAGTTCCAGCTCCTGCCAACCTAGCAGTTCGAAAGCAAGAAATTGCAAGTAGATAAATAGGTACCACTTTGGTGGGAAGGTAACAGCGTTCCGTGCACCTTGGTGTTTAGTCATGCCGGCCACATGACCACGGAAACGTCTTCAGACAGCGCTGGCTCTTCGGCTTTGAAACGGAGATGAGCACCGCAACCCTAGAGTCGGATTTGACTGGCTTTCGAGCAGGGGAACCTTTACCTTTACTATAGATGTTACAGTTCCCCCCACCCCTTATCTTTCTGTCCTCCAAACAAAATGTTCATTGGTAGTACATACTTCATTTTATCTTAGTAACCATATAGAATATGTATATTGAAATTTAGATATGAATTATCCTTCAACTGCCTGCTTTGACTTCCTTTTACAAACATAGCTTCCTTTTCCAGAGAGTGACTTTTGATATTCACTGAACAGAGATATCTGCATTAATTTCCGTATATTAAAATTGGGGATGGGGATGACATATGAAAACTGTTGCTACAGTGCAAAAGCTAGGCAAGTATCTGCCAAATTTAAGCCATTCTGAACTTCCTCAAGGAAGAGACGGCTACATGAGAAATTAAGGCATTTATCAAAGAACAAGGCTTAAATGGGATTTCACATACTGTAGATGCATATGGGGAGGAATGGCCCCACAAAAGGTCCAAAGATCATTCTGTGTTCAGTGTACAGAAGCAAGTAGAGATGGATCCTGAGCATGCCCTGCTGAAGCTAACTTTTGAATTCCAGTTTGCAAGAGAAGTGTATTGGAATTAAAAGATAGAATGCAAATCTTTGTATGTTGTATGGGCGTATGTATATGTGTGTTAGTGAGAAACACAGAGACAGAGAGAGAAACTGGTTTACCTGCCAAAAACCGATGAGAAAAAATACATGAAAGAAATGCTCAAAGCAGTTCTCAGCAGGGGAGGATCACTGTACACAGTCCATTTCATGGTGCTCAGTACCACAGTACCAGTGCCTGAAAGCAGCTGAAAGAAAGGACACAGACAGGTGTGAGTCTAGCTGGTGAGAAGCGTGCTGGAGCAGCAGGTACCAATTCTTGCCTTGCTGGAGAATAAGGAGGTCAGTTGTCTGAGGAGGCATGGACGTGAATAAAACATCAAAACCACACTGTTCTGTACAAAGCAGTCAATGTACCTTGCAAATTATCCTCTTCATAAGCAATTGGAAAGAACTGGACAAACTCTGCTAACTTTAACAAGGGATAATTCTGTTCCACTGTTCAACCGTACTGCTCCCCTTAAACACTCTTTTGAACTTTGTGGGGTTTAGACTGTATGTATATAAAAATAAGCAATACCATGAGGGTAGAGGTTCTTTCATTAGAAACGAAAGACCTAAGTTCTGCTTAGGTCTTCTTCACAAAGCAGTAGCAAAACAACATTGTGAAACTGTGTATGTTGTAACTTCCTCTTTGTTGACTTCTTTGCTGTGCATTTGTAATACTTACGAATGCTATTAGCCAATAGTAGTGCCACACACCTTTTCCTTCCTGTGTGTATTGTTTCTCATTTCAAAATATATTATTTATTGAATTTATCACTCTTCTGGGTGAAAAAAGGCCACCAAGATGACACTTCAGTCAGCATAAGCTGCTGAAGGTCACCAAGTAAAAACCCAAGACTGGTTTTTATGGTTAATGAAAGCTTATTTTATGGACAAATATTTGGATGGGCCAAGACTGGAGTGATTTGGTCCCTATGACCCACTCCAGTCAATACCAGCTGCAGTGTGTTCTGTGCCAACTGAAGTTTCTGAACACTTTTTAAGGATAGCTCTGCATAGAGCACATTGCAGCAAAGAATATTTGTTAATAAATATTTAGTAACTTACATTGGATTTACTATTGTTTTAACATACTGCCACGCTAGTTCTTCATTTCACCAAGCTGCATCCTCTCCCCACAAGAAGTCCCTATAGCGCTACTTCCCCGTCACCTGCTGAGCATTTCAGAAAGGGGGGGATTGTAAGGCTGGGCTTGTTATTGGCTGCCCTCATTAAAATGAAAGGGCTTTTCACAGCTGCATAGCTTTCCTTAGTCACTGTGTGATTCCATTCCCCCTCATGCCTGACTGATCATTGCCATGAACTTCTTTCAGGAAGCAGACAGGGACCTTTGTTCTCATCTTAGAATCTGGGGAAGTCTGCTGTTCTGTGAGGGGAGATAACTGTTCAGGAGTGGAAGCCCATGTTCTCCAAGTCTTCTTTTCTTCCAGTGGCTGGAACAGGCTTCCAACCAGTTACAGATAATATAAACAGACCAGTGTCCAGTTCCTGAATGAGGCAGCTTCATGTGTCTATTGTGGCTGCCAAGCAATTGTTCTGCAAAGCAAGGAGGGAAGGCTCGTGCTTGGTTCTATGTCTTCTAGCAGCTTTTTCTGAGTTTGGCTCCACCTCCTGTGGTAGTTAGAGACAGTGGTAACACATCCTAGAGGAAGTTAGGTATCTCTGACTTGCCCTGAAGTGCTCCCAGAGTCTTCTGTCTCATTCATTCATTCATTCATTTACAAAATTAGATCCCGCCTTTCTGACCCCACAAGGGCCACCAAGGCAGCTAAAAAATTAAAACAAACATGATAAAACCACATTTTAAAACCACTCCCCACAAAAACACCCATCATTAAACCAATTAAAAACAGAGCTAAAATACGTACAAAGACATAAAAACAACAATTAAAACATTGGGCAGGAAGGAGGGATCACTGAGGGAATACCAGACAAAACAAAGAAGTCTTCACTGGCTGGTGGAAGATGGCAACAGAAAGGGACAGATGAACGTCCCTGTGGGTAGAGTTCCAGAGCTTGGGTGCTATGACCAAGAGGGGCTCTTTCCCGGGTTGCCAGCCACGTAATCTTAGAAGGTGGGGGTAACCGAAGCAAGGGTTCCAAAGATGACCATAACGGTCAAGCAGGTTCATAATGGATTAGGTGGTCATTCAGGTATATTGGCCCCAAACCATGTAAGGCTTTGAAAATCAACATCAGCAACCTGAATTGTCCCCAGATACAAATTGGAAGCCAGCTTGGATGGGCCAAGTCTGGAGTGATTTGGTCCCTATGACCCACTCCAGTCAATACCAGCTGCAGTGTGTTCTGTGCCAACTGAAGTTTCTGAACACTTTTTAAGGATAGCTCTGCATAGAGCACATTGCAGCAATCTGATCTAGTGGCCACATCTTTTCTGTCTAGGCAAGTCTGCAGCTGGCTAACCAGTCCAAGCTGGTAAAAGGTAATCTTGGCCACAGCTGCCACCTGCTTATCCAGCAGTAGAGGTAAATGGGGCTGAGAGAGTTCTGAGAGAACTGTGACTGGCCCAAATACACCCAGCATGCTCCATGTGGAAGAGTGGGGAATCAAACCCAGTTCTTCAGAATAGAGTCTGATGCTCTTAACCACTACACCACACTGGCAACCCAGTCCAAATCTCCAGATGACCTCATCCAGTGGTCTCATGTAGATGATAATGAGCATAGGGGACCCCATTGTTCTAAAGCCAAGGCGCTAAACAGGAGTTTTCCAGCACCACCTCCAGAACCACTGCAGAATGGTGCCTACCAATCCCGGCTCAGATAGGCCATCAAGAACGATACCATGATTGATGGTACCAAGAGCCACTGAGAGGTCCAGGAGAATCAACAGAGTTGCACTTCCTCTGTTCATTTCCCAGCACAAGTCACCCACCAGGGGAACCAATCCTACAACCAGGCCTGAACCTAGCCTGGAAAAGATCTAAACAATTTGCTTCATCCTGGAAATCTTGGAGTGGTCCAGCCACCACCGATTCAGTCACCTTGCTAAAGAATGGAACATTTGAGACTGGCTGATAATTACTGAGATCTCTGGGATCCAAAGTAAGCATCTTGAGAAGTGGGTGCTCTATAGCCTGTTTGAAGGCTGGAGTAACCATCATCTCTCTTAAGTGAAAGGATGCCCAGTTAACCTGCCTGTTGAGCTCTTCCTGGAAGCCAGTAGGATTAAAAAGGAAAAAGAAATCTATTGGACATTATAATGAAACAAGCTGGGAACCTGTGAGAAATCAAAGGGAGGATGAATAATTGATTTGGAAACACACGTACACACATCTCTCCACCTCCAGGATTCAATTTTTGTCCTTAGCTTACTTTCAACTACTTCAGCATTCTATGCCTTCCACGGCATATTCAGTCTTCATTCGACATTTTTTTTCCCTGTAGGGAAGGTCCTTTCATTTTAGTTAATTTTCAAGACATTTTTCTACATACTTGGGGAGTCCCTCAAATGTATAGAACCCCCTAGCTTGTCTGAGAGTGCCCTGGATTTGCTACTCTTTTAATTGGCATGAGTCTTCAATGTACCGTTTGATACAATGACAAAATATGAATAATGTAATTTTATGAACTTGGTATAACTGAATGTTATACATAACAATGAGGTTTAGCTACCTCATCTTGATATATTTGTGAAGTCATTATGTGAATAACATCTGTGGAGAGTCATTATTGTTTACTTCCCCCCCCCCTGGCAGGGCTCAACTTGTCCCGGTGTTTTCTTTTGGTGAAAATGAACTATTCAAACAGATTGAAAATCCTAAAGGATCACGACTCAGAGCATTTCAGGAGAGTCTGCAAAGGCTGGCAGGGTTTACTTTGCCTCTCTTTCATGGAAGAGGAATTTTTCAGTATAGCTTTGGCTTGATGCCTTACAGGAAACCTATTAACACTGTTGGTAAGTTCTTTTCTGTAGCATTTGATTTCATACATGAATGGTTAACAGTGGTTTTATTTGTATTGATGTCAATGGACTAACACTGGAGTAACTGCATAGAATTGCACTGCAAGTCTACAAATCTGGGGCTACAAATTAGTCATTCCATTGATCTAATTTATTACAGCAAGAGGCAGTAAAACAGTACAATTCTGATATAAGAAGGATTAAAACAGTAATAACATAGGAATAGTATAAAAACATTAACAAGAGAAAATTAATAAAATTAGTAAAATAAAATAATGTTAATAAGAGAACCATACAATTTTTTCAGCTAAAATAAGTTTACGTTTCCTAATAGCTAAGCAACAAAATTTTGCCACAACATAAGTCACTGAGCTCTGAACATCTTCTAAGAGGAATTTACAAAGGATTTCTGGCCTAAAGTCAAGATAAGACTGCAGAGGGCTAAATCTAGACAGAAGGGGTAGTATAAGATGGTCTGTAGTCATTATCTGTAGCAGAAATCACTGGCTAGACACCAAAGTTGGAAGAGAAGACTGTTTGAAATGAACTTGTTTCTCTTTCTTAGTATTTTCTTTGGTGAGTTTCTTCTGCTCCCTCCTTCCTCACTTTTGCCTTTTTGTGATTACATGTAGCTCTTGACATCTGAATTGCCTCTCAGTTGAGAACATCTTATATAACAACCTCCATGCATGTTACCTGTATACCTCTGCTATAGAGCTAGTGTTACACAGAGGATAGTACTCACTCCCTTTGGCATACTGATCCCCACTTAGCTACTAAACCTGCCACAGAGGCCAAGTGAGCATGTCCTTAAAACATAAGAAGGAACAAGCTGATGTCATGCAGTGTAGTTGTGAGGAAAAACGGGATACAGATGTGTTTAATAATAATAATAAAATAGTCTTTTGTAATCCAGTGCTCTGGTAGTGTTCTGACTTCTGGAAGTATTTTGTTCCCATAGAATTTTGTTGAGTTCTGCTTTTTTTCTTTAATGTGATGCATTGGAAATGATTGACCACCCGTTCTAATACCCCTCCTCCACTCCTGGGTGCTACAGTGCAAACAGGGACCCTTTCTGCACTGACAGCTTGCTCTGGAGAATCCAAGGAGTCAAGCCTTAAGGGTTGACTTCGGAGTCGCACGCATTCCCTCTGCATTGGTTTTTCCCCCTCTGGTTTATTTATTTGTGTATTCTGTATGCATTCTGCATCTACAAGCAAAACCCACATTTTTTGAGCTAACTGGCTGTTTTGTCTAAGATGAAGAGAAAGGCGAACATCTCTCAAAACTTTTAACTGCAGGCCCAATCCCTCCCTTCCTCCGTGATTCTGCCAAAAGAAAGGGAAGGGAGGGGGAAGTCCAAGCCCACACATGCAAGACTGACACATTTGGGAGCAGGGAATCCCCTAGTCCTTTATATATTTACTGATTCCTTCTTATGCTCTGTCTGCCTGAGTGGGAGGACATGGCCTCTTGTGTCTTTGAAGAAGGAGGGAAAGAAAACAGAATGGGGAGAGAACATCAACCAAAAGAGAGAGGCATAAACGGGGAAGGGCAGTGGGTAGCACCCACAGAAACAATCCTACTTTAGAAAGGATTAGTGATTCAAATGTGGATGAGAACAAAGAATTGCAGCAAAAGGAGTTTTGGTAACTGCGGGGCAACAGTGTACTAGAAGCGGTCTGAATGCAGATTCCTGTGAAACAAGGAAAATCCCTGACACAAACTGGAAGTCAAAGCGAGAGGGAATGCAGAACGGAAAAATCGGATGCACTTAGAAACTGTGGCAAAATACAGGTGCAGAAAGGGCCATGGCGTGCCTTTTCTCTGCTTCTGGTTCAGTACCATTGCAGTAAGCTTGCTGTAGGGGGCATTGCCATGAGAAGGAAAAAGTATGTCAGAACTGGATCTTGCATAAGTTGGATAATGTTTAAGAATACTGAAGTGTTTTAGGCACTGTGTTTTATTTTTAGGTTGTGTTCCCACTCTCCCCTCCCTTGTGCTCACTTTGTAGCTGAGGATTGCGAAAGCCTTTATGTAAATAATTTTAAATGTAAATGGCATTGTAAGGGAGACTGGTGATGTTTGCCAAAAGTGAAAGGATGAAGGATTGAAAATGATTCCGGCTGTACTTTTGAGTAAAGGAATAACCATTTTTCCAGCAAGTAGAATCTACCCTGTTACTTTGTTATTAAAATATGATAGAAACACAGGTCAAATTTGTTGATGGGGTTGGGGTAAAATACTTGGAGATCACTGGAGAACAAGGGGTAAAATAAAGATGAATGCTATCACAGAAGACCAGCATCTGAAAAGCATGAGTGTATGCATTTCTTTGGCACTGTTAATTTAAAATCTAACCAACAAGTGCCTTTTAGGGTGGAATAGGTTCAGACATTTCATTCAAGCTGTTGTTTTATAAACGTAACTACAAAAGCACCAAGATGCATATGTACATTAGGGTATGAAGTCAGTGCATGGTGGACAAGATTGTTCTGGTCTTCTTTGAACAAAATGATTGTAGCCTCTGGAAACTGAAACAGCAAGACACTTCTGAGATCCTTATTCATAACTTTTAAACTACGAGCAAGAAAATGATCAGCAGAATTACTGGTCTTTGCAGATTATGTTCCATGAGGAAGCAGGGCATCTTCTTCCCTTAAGGGAGTATAAGAATTCTAATGTTAACACTTGTTGTTTTATACACACTGAAAGTAGAACATCACAAAATTTGTTTCCTGTCTATGTCTGTGTGTACTTGAATGTTCAAGTAGCTTTCCTTTTTGTGGTGCACCCTGGATCATGCTAAAGAGTTAGAATGTCTGGCTGCCAGACAATCGTAGGATCTCCTGGCTACACTACACACATGGAAACAATCAACCAATTAAACAAACAGTCCTTCTTAGGATTACTTCACAAGAGGTATAGGAGACTGCATCTGAATCTGCCAAATGAATATTGAGGGTATAAGCAAGTTTAAATGCCAATACTTGTCGCAAATGTTACTGGCCAATAAAATAGATTTAGCTCTTGTTCAAGAAACTCATCTTGATAACGAAAATCACACCCGCCACAGAGCAAAAATTGCAGGATATGATGTTATTAGCATCACGTACCAACACATAATTACCGCGGATTCGTTGGAGCTGTTATATCTATGGCAAAAAGGCACATTCCTCAAGAATACTGGAAAGAATATATTCCAGGCTGGAGCAATCAGTGTGAGAGGCTTTATCAAAATTTCCTTGACAGCAAAGACCCAGAAGTAGCAGATTAACTGCTCCATGAACTTGACACTGTGTGTAGACAAAAATGGACCGAAGCAGCTGTGAATTTGGATTTCAGGCATTCCAGTAGGAAAGCCTGGAGCCTGTTGAAAAAACTAGGTGCAAGCCCACCTGTGCTTCGAGGAAATTTGGAGGTAACATCAAAGCAGGTATCCCTATCCAAAGTTCTGAAGGACTGAGATTTTACAATCAGGATAAAAAAAGAACACCAGAATTTGAAATGCACCTGCCCTGAAGACTGCAAGCTGTCAGGGGATTTCAGTGCTGATGAGATTCCCAGGGCACTGAAGGACATGAAGAGCAGAAAGGCATGAGGCTTTGACTGCATCCATAATGAGTTCCTGATTAACAATGGCACATTCACTAAGAAGTGGCTTGCAAAGTTTCTCACTGACATGATGAAAACAGGAAGACTCCTAGGGGGATGCAAGAAAGGAAAGATAGTTGCTATTCTGAAACCTGGAAAACTAAAACATCTGACAGAAAGTTACAGACTTATTTCCCTTCTGAGCTCCTGTTATAAACTCCTTGGGAGGCTAATCCTGAACAGAATCAGTGACAGAATTAACAAACATGTCCCTACAGAGCAAGCAGAATTTAGACCCCTTTGTAGTTGTGGATACCAGGTTCGTAGCTTAACAACTTTCATTGAGGCAGGGTATCAAGAAGTGTCTTAAGACATCAGCAGTTTTCGTCAATCTGACTGCCACTCTTGACACAGCCGGGAGGAATGGTCTGCTGTACAAGTTTTTACAAGTTTTCCCCTGCAGAATATTATTTTGACTCTTAAATAACATGCTGAGTGATAGAACTTTCCAAATAATTATGGGTCAGTCAATCAGCAAGTCAAAGAAACTGAATAATGGTCTACTCTAGGGCTCAGTCTTCGCTCCAGTTCTTTTCAATCTATACAACTCTGATGTTCCCAAGACAATATCTAGGAAGTTTGCTTATGCCAATGACATTATGATGGCAGTAAGGCACAAATCAATGGAAAGGACTGAGGAAATACCGACTAGGGACCAATGTTCCCTCTAAGCTGAGTTAGTGAGCTAGCTCACTGTTTTTTAGCCTCCGGCTCACGCATTTTTGCCTGAGCTCAGGAAGGATCGCTCCAGAGCAAACTAATTTATGCAGTAGCCAAATCGTTCACTCACAACTTAAATTCCAGTAGCTCACACAGTAGAATTTCTGCTCACAAGACTCCACAGCTTAAATTGAGCATTGCTAGGGACATCAACATTTTGGCTGACTACTACTGTAAATGGTGGCTTATCCCAAGTCCAGGAAAAACAGAATGCTCCTGTTTCCATCTCAATAACAATCTTCCTAGATATTGTCTTGGGAACATCAGAGTTGTATAGATTGAAAAGAACTGGAGCCACACTGAAGCACCATATTCCATAGTACTATACACCAACCCCAAAGCTGACCATCTAAGTGTTGTAGCAGATACACCCCAAGTTGTACCACATAATTTTTTTGAGAATGTTGTTTCCCATGCATATTTTCGCTACTACTTTGATAAGATGGTGTTTATCACTCAAGGTCCTATCCAGGGTAATGCCAAGGTACTTAGGTGTATGGTTGTGTGTAAGTCAAGTGCCATTAAAGTAGTTCATGTGTGGCTCAACAGCCCCCATGTCCACAAACTTGATCTCTAACTCAGTACAATGATGAGAACCATCAGCGGATGTATTAAACCAACACTATGCCACACTGTTGTTCTTGTTGTTCAGTCGCACATCTTCGCAACCCCATGGACCACATCACACCAGGCCCTCCTGTCCTCCGCCATCCCCTGGAATGTGCTCAACTTCATGTTCATTGCATCAATAACACTGTCTAACCATCTCATCCTTTGCCGTCCCCTTCTTCTTTTACTTTCAATCTTTCCCAGCATCAGGGTCTTCTCCAGTCAGTGCTCCCTTCTCATTTGGTGGCCAAAGTATTTGAGCTTCAGTTTCAGGATCTGGCCTTCCTGGAAATAGTCAGGGTTGATTTCTTTTAGGATTGACTGATTTGATCTCCTTACAGTCCAAGGGACTCTCAAGAGTCTTCTCTAGCACCATAATTTGAAAGCATCTATTCTTTGTCGCTCGGCCTTCCTTATGGTCTAACTCTTGCAGCCATACATTACTACTGGGAATACCATTGCTTTGACCATATGGACTTTTGTCGGCAGGGTGATGTCTCTACTTTTTATTATGCTGTCCGGGTTTGCCATAGCTTTTCTACCAAGGAGCAGACGTCTTTTAATTTCATGGCTGCAGTCACCATCTGCAGTGATCTTGGATCCCAGGAACGTGAAGTCTGTCACTGCTTCCATGACTTCCCCTTCAATTTGCCAAAGAGTGATGGGCCTGGATGCCATGATCTTAGTTTTTTTGATGTTGAGTTTCAAGCCAACTTTTGCGCTCTCCTCTTTTATCCAAAGCAGGAGGCTCTTTAGATCCTCTTCACTTTCCACCATTAGAGTGCTATCATCTGCATATCTGAGGTTGTTGATGTTTATCCCAGCAATCTTAATTCCAGCTTGTGATTCTAAGTGTCGCTTCTTGACCCTTAGACAGGTTTCTCATGAGACACGTGAGGTGGTCTGGTACTCCCATCTCTTTAAGGACATGCCATAGTTTGTTGTGATCCACACAATCAAAGGCTTTAGCGTAGTCAATGAAGCAGAAATCGATGTTTTTCTGGTACTCTCTTGCTTTCTCCGTAATCCAGCGAATGTTGGCAATTTGATCTCTAGTTCCTTTACCTCTTCGAAACCCATTCTGTACTTCTGGTAGTTCTCTATCCATGTACTGCTGAAGCCTAGCTTGTAGGATCTTGAGGATGACCTTGCTAGTGTGTGAAATGAGTGCAACTATGCAATAGTTTGAACGTTCCTTGGCATTGCCCTTCTTTGGGATTGGAATGTAAACTGACCATTTCCAATCCTGAGGCCACTGTTGTGTTTTCCAAATTTGCTGGCATATGGAGTGCAACGCTTTAACAGCATCATCTTTTAGGACTTTGAATAGCTCAGCTGGGATACTGTCATCTCCTCTAGCTTTGTTGTTAGTAATGTTTTCTAAGGCCCATTTGACTTTGCACTCCAGGATGTCTGGCTTGAGGTCAGGGATCACATCATCATGGTTGTCAAGGACATCGAGGTCTTTCTTGTATAATTCTTCTGTGTATTCTTGTCACCTTTTCCTAATCTGCGTCTGTTAGGTCCCTACCGTTTTTGTCCTTTATCATGACCAGCTTTGCACGAAACGTTCCCTTGATTTCTCCAATTTTCTTGAAGAGATCTCTAGTCCTTCCCATTCTATTGTTTTCCTCTATTACTTTGCATTGTTCATTCAGGAAGGCCTCCTTATCTCTCCTTGCTGTTCTCTGGAAATCTGCATTCAGTTGGGTAAATCTTTCCTTTTCGCCTTTGCCTTTCGCTTTCCTTCTTTCCTCTGCTATTTGTAAAGCCTCATTAGCATATGCCACACCCCCTGACATCACTGGAAGTGTGTCCTCCCCACAGCCGGCGGCGACCTCCAGCGGGCACCAGCAGGGAGCTCCAGGCCCCGCCCTCCCGCACCTCACCCGGGGGGATGGCGTCCCCCCGCGTCCCCCCCCCAAATGACCCCTGCCTCCACTGTATATTCATAAGGGATGTGATCTAAGTCAAACCTGAGTGGCCTAATGGTTTTCCCAACTTTCTTCAGTTTAAGCCTGAATTTTGCAATGAGTAGCTTATGAACTGAGCCACAGTCAGCTCCAGGTCTTGTTTTTATTGACTGTATAGAGCTTCTCCATCTTTGACTGCAAATGATATAATCAATCTGATTTCGATGTTGCCCATCTGGTGATGTCCATGTAAAGAGTCGCCTCTTAGGTTGTTGGAAGAGGATGTTTGCTATGAGCATGTCACATTGTGCCACATTGCTCCCCTGTATCTCTGAAGACAAGATGCTCTTTTTCATGAATATAGAAAGATAACTGAAAACAGAGAGTTGCCCATCCACAAAGATATGACTGACGTGGGCCTATCCAGACTAAGATCCCGACACCCAGCAATAAATTCTGGACAAATCCTGCAATCACAGAATTTCAATCTAGGGAATGAATGGTTGCTAACATGGATGCAATCAGCTCCACCCGATAGCCATAACCTGATAAACACCAATGAGAGGCCCTCAGGATTTGACTTACCATGTAAAGTATGGAAGACGGCTAATAGAATATGAACAAGCTTTGGGAGTTGTGCAGAGCTGTTGTTTAAATGTGGCAAAGTACCAGGACCTGAATGTGATTGTGGTGTAGCTGACCAAGCTATTTTCCATCAGTCACAGGAATGTGAGCGTTGTGCTTTCCAGGGAGATGTGATGGAGCTCTTTGAACTCTCCCCAGCTGCAATCAAGTGGACTGAAAATTTAGAGAATAGTATTTAGGGGAATTGCCCATATGGTCTGCATACCTGTTGTATCAACTTGGTTATTTTGTATTATTATACTGTGTGTAACTCTGCCATATGATAAATAAATGTATAGAGAGAGGAGGAGGAAGTTGCCAGTAGCATCCACATCCCTTTTTAAAAGCATCCATATTCTGTGTTCATTAAGAATCTTAGATGGCAATGTTCTTAATATGAGTTATTAATTAACAGTGCCTGTTTCACTAATAGAGTAAAATGCTTTTAATAGGTTATTACCTCTAGTTCAGCTGTATTAGAAGTACTGTACATTTGTGAATTTGGTTTCCTTGAATGTACTAAGGTGTAATCTATTTGCAAACTGGGTTCCCTATGCAAAATAATCTGTTTTGAGCTTAGTGAGTCAATTTGGAAACTCTGTTGACCTTGTCTGGCTTCACTTGCAAATTAATATTGCATTTCAAACCAATTTGCATAATAAAGTCTCACAGGGAGTCGCGTTGTACTTTTTGAATAGACTCTACTCTCCTTTGTTAATGGCTCCTGATCCATTGGTGACCCTGATCCCTGCAGTGCTTCCAAAGTTACATCAGTGCCAGCTTTGTTACTTGGACATCTCCATTGTTCTGCAGTGCAAAGATCACATGGAACTATTCAAAAATGAATCTTTTCTATATTAATTTCAGCACAGAACCTAATATCAAAATGGGTACATCAGCATAAATGGCACTGAAAACTGCAGATTTATGATCACAGTGTCCACTTTTGGACATGGTTTAAGGTGCCCTGCCAGGGCATAGAAGCTAGATTTTGGATAATGCTTAATGTTTCTTACAGTTCTGGAAGCCTCCAGTTATGTGCTTTTAAAATACAGATTGTTGTTTGCATGTCTCTTGTAGAAGAGGCAATGGGAAGCAAACTCTGAAAATGCAAACTTCAACAAAACTGTTAAAGGTCTGACTTTGGAATAGAACATTTATACTATGATACTGTATGCGGTCGGGTTAGAACGGATAAAAGGAAGTACTTCTTCACCCAAAGAGTGATTAACACATGGAATTCACTGCCACAGGAAGTGGTGGCAGCTACAAGCATGGACGGCTTCAAAAGGGAATTAGATAAGCATATGGAGCAGAGGTCCATCGGTGGCTATTAGCCACAAGGTATAGATAGGGGCTCTGGGGCAAGTGATGCTCTGTCTTCTTGGTGCTTGGGGGGGGGGTCAACCGTGGGAGGGCTTCTAATGTCCTGGCCCCACTGGTGGACCTCCTGATGGCACCTGGTATTTCTGGCCACTGTGTGACACAGAGTGTTGGACTGGATGGGCCATTGGCCTGATCCAACATTGGCGTCTCTTAGATTCTTATGTATCTAATATTAATGTTTTTTAAAATTCTTTGTAGTCGGGGAGCCTATTACTGTGAAACAGAATCCAAATCCCACCCTTGAAGAGATTGATCAGCTGCATGAAAAATACCTACAAGAGCTACAGAAGCTGTTTGACAAAAACAAAGTACTGTATTTTTCGGACCATAAGACGCACCTGACCATAAGACGCACCTAGTTTTTAGAGGAGGAAAACAGGGAAAAAAATATTCTGAACTTTGGGGCTCAGTATTCGGTCCATAAGACGCACACACTTTTCCCCTCACTTTTTTTTGGAAGAAAAAGTGTGTCTTATGGTCCAAAAAATACGGTAAAGTATGGGATACCAGAGCACAAGTCTCTTATCTTTAACTAAATATGAGTACAGGGAGACTCTGGTGCAAGATAAATGTTTTGATGACTAAAAGAACTTCTTTTTCCCTCGCTGTCTTTTCCAAAACTTACAAGAGTAAGTCTCTTCTTGTGCAATGCACTCAATATGTGCTAGGAAAAGATTTAATAGTTTCCACAATTTTTGATGTGAAATTGATTTTATGGACTTGTATATTCTCATGATCAAGATTCTTTCCCCTTCATTCTATGAATCAATGTAGTTCTGCTGAAAATACTGCAATCTTACGAATAGCTCAGGAGATTTTAGTATTATGTTTTATATTTTGAGTCTGAATAAGTCAGCACTGATAATGAATGAAAACCTCTTCTAGAAAATGCCTTTGTCTTTAATGGTTGATCCAATGATCCCCGTCTACAAAATTGGATCAGATAACTCTCTTCTAGTAAAATGGGGCAAATAATTCCCCCCAGGCCATTTCGGGTCAGAAAAAAGGAGCTGAATCAGGACTCTTTTAAAAGGCCTTTCTTCACAGCTACTGTGTGGTAACCCAGACCTGACTTGTTAGCAATTGTAACATGTAGTTTAACCCTTAGAAGAATTTTCTCTATTAGAGGAAGACTTAGCAGAATGGGGCCATTAGATCCAGTTTGACAGAAGGGAGTAACCAGATCCAACCCAATGTCTTTGGTCATGTTCTTCCATCTTGTACAAACACCATAGACACCCATTACACACAAAAGCACAGCTACAGTCTTGCATAGTTCCCATCCACACCACATTAAGGTATTTGTTTAGGAGAAGCTTCCAATAGACTGTGACTTTTGTTCTCTTTCATTAAACTTGAAAAACATATTATGATAATTTGTGCTCACTAACTGAATTCCTTGTTTATCAGAAACCTCAATTAGTTTTTTTCCTGAAAAATTTGATGAAATATTTTTGAATGTTTGTGCATATCTGTATTTAACTGTGCAGTGTAAATAGGTGATGTGTTTGGAATTAGTAAGTGAAATGACATTCTACTTTAAATGGTTTAATAAGCCGTAAAACAGAGTCAAAATCTGTCATTATGGTATGTGTTTGTCTGTCTTGTTCTCTGGGGAGTTTAAGAACTCCTTTCCATCTTAGAATACCAAAATTAGTTTTATTCAAAGGGAACTAAAAGAAGAAGCTCTTTTAGAATTTAATGAGGAAAACATAAATATCAGGGCTATGATTAATATCATCCAGTTTTGTTATTTTATATGAACATTGCAGTGGTGTAGAACCATTCTTCTCCTTCCCACCCCCAAACTTCATGAACAACAGAAATTGGGTTGGGGTGCTGTTTCTGTCAAAAACAGTTTAAAGTTAAAAGCCTTTCTGTTCCAAGTTACAAGTCTGAATCAGTTGAACAAGAAACCTGCTGCGTAACTCTTATGCTTTCTCAGGTCCCAGCTCTTTGTTGCAGTAATACCGTGAGGGCTGGAGAAAAGGAAAACAAAGAAATGCAAACCATGCATACCACTGAAATAAGAGAAAGATAGAAAGAAGATAAAGAGGGAACCTCAGCATATACTATGCAAAAAGGAAGAAAATGCTAAGGGAAAACCATCAGCAGTGTCTTCACTGAGGACTAGAAGACTAAGCAGTCCCAAAATCCTCAATTATAAAAATAAAAGTATTTTTTAAAAACCAAAGAAGTTTGTAGAGTGTGAAATTTCTCTGTTTTTTAGGTCTGGAGATGGCATGTAATCATACATACACACTTTACTCCCTCATATACAAAGCCAAGTTTGAAGAACCCCTAGTGTGGAAAATCTTTGCTCTAACCACATTTTGTTGTGATATCCAAGATGGGCACTATAACAGATTTTTTTTCTTCTTGCCCACAAACCAGGATTTTGTACCAGAATTAAAACCATGGTTTAGAATCCTAGTTAGTGGGCGAAAAACCCCAAATCCCATTTTGATACAGCACCTGAATTCCGATGGCCCATCAAATTGTTATTGCATCAAAGTCTTTCTAAATATCAAAATGCGATTATATGAAAGACTTACTAAACCCCAAAAATTTCAATCTCATTTCCAAGTGGAAGGGGAAGCAGAAGAAACACATCCAAGGCGAATAACCTTTTGGGTTTATGTTTTGTGCTACTGTTTCCCTTGGATTCTGCTGTTTGCTTACCATTGCTGCTTTATTCTCCTTCCTGCCTTAATCACATGGATAATTATAACCAATGAAGGCTTGAAAATGATGAAATCACAACACTATGTAGTCAATCCAATTTAGATATGTAATTATGAACTTCAGAATGATTGAGAATGAAAGCAGTACTTCCTGTACAGGTCATATTGATGCCCAGAGGATAGTCATCCCCCCCTGCCCCAGCACAGGAATGCCCAGACATGCCACAGATGTACTGCTGATTTCAATCACATCTGAGACTTGGAGGGCATACTTAGTACTAAGGCTAGGATTCCAGTAAAATTTCAGGAGCCGGAAGGCACTTCTCACATGTGAATAGAGAAGCAGCCCATTGTGCAGGTCTCCTGGAAGGCAATCATATCAACCTTTGCACTTAAAATTCCAACAGTGTCTCACCAATCAGGAGTAATAATGACCTAAAGCACAGAAGGATCTATCAGGTTATCATCCTTATCATAAAACCATCAACCTCCCCAGACATCGCCATCAGGCATTCCCTTTGTCCTCTAAGATCACCCTATGAGCTGTCATTTCAACACTCCTGCATCTCATGTGAGTGCAAGTGTAGTTTTTCTACTCAGAATATTCCTGCCTGGCAGTTAGATCCAAGCTGCCCAATTAAGTCCAAACCTTTTCCCACTGTTAGGTCCAAACCATCTCCCATCTACTGCCCCTGCGACACACTGTACAGGATCCTTCACAGGGACTTCAAGGAGGTCTCAGTCTCAGTTCCACTTTGCCTTCTTTCACTCAGCACCCCAGCACCAACTAGGATTGCCTGATGCATAATGTTGTGTGTCATTCATGTCCTACCCGCAGGTTCTCCTGGACCTCAACCTTCGGCTCATGCTTGTATAGTTTCTTTATCCCCTACTGCCCCCCCTTATTAATTCCCAGATAGGTGTTATGTAGTTTTATTGGGTTCATTACTTTGTATACATGTGCTCATTTGATTCTCAGTGTGCTTCTTTGATATTTCTACTTGCTGTATATATATATATTGCTATATGTTCCTAGTAAAGATTTGTACTTTGTTCTATGTTCTGCCTAATTATTTCTGGAAATCTACCCCCATAACAAAATGTTACTCAGAATGGGACCCCAGTATATACCAGTTCACACAAGACAGTGATCCATTTTTAAGGATTTGCATATAAGTGCATATGTTTGGACTTGACATGCAAGGAGAATGCTCCAAATATTGGGGATCCTACCCATGTACACTATTTGGGTAACAATATGAGTGATCACACAAAATCAGAGATCATGCAGGGAACAGGATGATGTTACCATGCTTTGCAGCCAATCAAATATGGCTACATGATGGTACTAACCATATGACAACAATTCAAAGTAAGTATTTGAGGACTATGTGAACTTGTTTGAGAAATCATCCAGAAAGGAAGCATTCTTTGATAGTGTCAAAATGTTTTAGAAAACTTATTAATGACTTTTGCTCAGGCCTAAAACTACACTGTACAAAATATGGCTTATTTAAATTACACTGAGGACAATTTTTAGTGTCGTTTCCCATGGTGGTAACATAGTAGAGAAATGAATTGACCTGATAACTATAAGGACTTGGAACTATAAGGACCTATAAGGCTAGTCAACAAGTTTTGACTATGTATGGGACTTTCTTTTATGCTTAGCCATTGTGTGAAAATGCAGAGAGAGGCCAGACATGCAAAAGCAGAACTGTGCTTAAACCAATTCAAATGCTTGTGCATCGACTGCCAAGAAAATCAGAAGTAAGTTGAGCCTAAGGAAAAGCCCACTATCTCCTACATTTAGCCAGCATGGCCCACTCTCCAAGAAGCCTACTAATATAATAATCTATCTTAAAAGTCACATGCGGGCTGATCTGCAGATACTCAGAGAGTAGATACACAGAGAGAAGAGACTCCTTTGCCCTAACAGTATTAGAACTACTCTGAAAGAGAAAATTACTTATAAAATACTTCAATGTATGGCTTGTAGTTACAGGGAAAGGAAAGGATGGCAAAGAATGAACTGGTGACTTTCTGCATACTAAATGGATGCTCTACCATTTCCCTCTTTGTAATGGGGTTTGTTCCATTAATAATAATAATAATAATAATAATAATAATAATAATAATAACACCAATGTCAACAAAACCACCAAATTCCAATTCATACAGCATTTAAAGCAATAATAGCTCTCGAATAAAAACTGTTTTTTAATCTGTTTGTCCTTGTTTTGATTGTCCTATATCTTCTACCCGAAGGCAGCAGTTCAAACAGGGAGTGTTCAGGGTGTGACAAATCCTGCAGAATGTTCTTTGCTTTTTTCAAACATCGAGAACTATACAATTCCTCCATGAGTGGGAGAGGACAGCCAATAATCTTCTGGGCTGTGTTGATAACTCTCTGGAGTGCTTTCGTCTCCACAGCCGTACAACTGGCAAACCAGACACAGACACAGTATGTTAAAATGCTCTCTATTGAGCAACGATAGAAAGACATCAGTATTTTCTCACTCAAGTTATTTTTCTTTAAAAGTCTGTGAAAAAAGAGCCTCTGCTGGGCCTTCTTCACCAGAGCAGTGGTGTTAGTGCTCCAAGTCAAGTTCTGCTCAATAATCACTCCCAAAAACTTAAAAGTAGCCACCCTCTCCACACGTTCTCCACCAATAAACAGTGGCTGAATGTCCGTTTTGTTCCTCCTATAGTCCACTACCAATTCCTTGGTCTTGGTGGTGTTGAGGATCAAATTATTTTCCCTGCACCAAACACAAAGCCGTTCCACCTCGTCCCGATAAGCAGACTCATCATTCCCAGAGATGAGCCCCACCACAGTGGTGTCATCAGCA